AAGCCTCGCTAACAGGTGTCTCCTAACAACACATAAAATATTACCAAGACACTTCTGGTACTAATTTGTTGCCTCCGAATACCATTAGCTCCTAAAAGGGGCCCAAGTGACCGTTTTGTTCAGCACAACATTCCAAGAGGCAAGCAGACTTCTCCCATCTGCTGCAGCACCTGTCAAATTAAAATGCTACTTATGTTGTGTATGCTATAGTGGGGTAGCCTATATGGGGTACAACACAATTAGGGTTAGTACTTGCTCAGTTTGATGTCAATGCAATCATTCCTGCTCGTTAATTCTGACATGGTATTGGAGCAGACTCACCAGCACCTAAAGCAGCAGCCGCTATACCAGGTTCAGGTGGCACACACAGGTAACAGTCACTCTGAGTACTAATTGTCAAAGCATACATGGTAGTGAGGATGGTGTCATAGTCTAGAGCAAAGATATCCACCTTGTTCCGAAGCAGCTCTAGCCAGCGGGGGAGCTCAGCCTCGTCGCCAAACACTACACGTCAGGCGTCGCTCAGATAGGCGAAGCAGCGAGCCTGTATGTGACCAACTGTCCCGCAAGTCTGACCGGTCCGATCACCTGTGCGAATGACGTACGGGCAGCGGACAGTACTCCAAGTCCCCCCACTCTGAGCGTACCACTCACGAAGCTACAGACGTCGCTGGGGCGTAAGGGTCTCGCGCGGACGCCGCTGCAGCTGCATCTGGCCACCGCCAGAAACTCCGCACTGAACAGCTCCACGGCGACTGCTACTACGGCTGCCGCCACCACACCGACTGGCGTACCACTCACGAAGTTGCTCGGGCGTAAGGGTCTCGCGCAGACGTCGCTGCAGCTGCAACTCGCCACCGCCAGAAACTCCACATCGAACAGTTCCACAGCGACTGCTACTACGGGCGCCACCACTCTCACTGCTACCACCACCGCCGTCACCACTCCCACCGCTACTACGAAGTGAAGTCATAGCAGGAGGCAAGCAGACTAGTACCTCCAGGACTAGCAGCTCCAGCTCCAGGGCCGCCAGTCCGAGCGCCTCTAGCGCCAGCGCCTCCAGCTTCAGCGACTCCAGCTCCAGAGTCTCCATGACTAGTAGCTCCAGCACCTTCAGGACGAGCACCTCCGGGACTGGCAGTGCCAGCAACACTAGCACCTCTAGCACCAGCAGCACCACCAGCCCCGGCAGCTCCAGTACCTCCAGTACGAGCACCTCCAGGACCAGCAGCTCCAGCTCCTCCGGTAGCTCCAGCTCCAGCGTCTCCAGCCGCAGTACCTCCAGCTCTAGCAAGGCCACTCTGAAGACGGCAACGCTGAGCGTACTAGTCGCGGAGTTGCTGCGGCGAGAGAGTACCTCCAGAACCTCCAGGACTATTAGTGCCAGCACTACCAGCACCACCAGCACCAACAGCACCACCAGCTCCGGCAGCTCCAGTACCTCCAATACGAGTACCTTCAGCACCTACAAGACGGTCAGCTCCAAGGCCTCCCTCTCCAGCAGCGACACTTTGAAGGCGACGTTCTACAACCTCGTGTACGTCGACGACTTGGTTTTTGCCACTACTGACACTGAGGCACTCGCCCTTGTGAAGTCGGAGCTGCAGAAGAGACACACGTGCACAGAACTGGGTGAGTTGCGCAGCTATCTTGGCTTGCAGATCACCCGGGACAAAGCACGGCGCACCATCACCCTGACCCAGTTATACTGTCAGGGGTACTCTATAGCGAGTACAACCCAATTAGGGTTTCATATATGTATCCTCCTGCTTGCTAGTGAACATTCTCCTTTTCTCATTTCTGTTTCTCCTGCTAATTCTGACATGCTATCAGAGCAGGTCGACCCTCCTGGGTCGATCCTGTGGGTGGGCCCCACCCGATGCTTCCGCTGCTCTACTGCTGTCGCGCGCCCCGGGCGCGCGACCCTTTCTTCCTGCCGCGCACTCGGAGCGCGCGGCGTTTTTCATCCCGCCGTGCGCTCAGGGCGTGCGGCGGTTTTCTGCCCGCCGTGCGCCCCGAGGCGCGCGGCGGTTTCCTGCTTCGTGCGGCGCCCTGGGGGCCCGCGCGTCGCCCTCCTCCCGTCACCTCGTCGCGGCGCCCTGGGGGCCCGCGCGCCGGCCCCTCCCGTCGCCTCGTTGCGGCGCCTTGGGGGCCCGCGCGTCGCCCCCTCCCGTCGCCTCGTCACGGCGCCTTGGGGGCCCGCGCGCCGCCCCCTCCCGTCGCCTCGTCGCGGCGCCTTGGGGGCCCGCGCGCGGCCCCTCCCGTCGCCCGTCGAGCCGCCCTCGGGGGCCCGTGCGCGGCCCCCCTCCCTTCACCCGCCGTGGCGCCCTCGGGGGGCCCGCGCCCTGCTCCTTCGTGGCGCCCAGGAGACCCCCCCGCCGCCTCCCTTTCCCTCCGTGCACCGCCCCTGCTGCTTCCCGCGCTCCTGCCTGCGTTAGGGTTTGGGGGTGGCGGGCATGGGGGTGACCGGTGTGGGTATCCTGCAGCTCCTCCTCCTCCTCCGTCTCCCACTGCTGCAACTGCCGCTGAGGGGGGTGGGTGTGTGGGAGCCGAGGGTTTAGGGTTTAAGGGGGGTGCCGTGGGAGTGGAGCTAGGGTTTCAGCAGGGGGTGTGTGAGAGGGGTGTGGGACGGTCGGGGGAGGTTGCGTGGAGGCAGCCGTCGTGTCGTCAGCAGCGCCAGTAGTCCGGGGCCCTTGCTCCGGAAGCCCAGCGAGCCAGTCGCTGTGCCAGTCGCTCGTGGGTCCGTTGCTCCTGCCGCTCGTCTTACCCGCGGAGCCAGTTACTCCTGTAGTCCGGGGCCCTTGCTCCGGTAGCCACTGTGCGCGCCACTCCTGTTGCCCGTGTGTCTGCGGCTTCACCCATTGACTCCTATCTCCACTCCTTTCACAGGCTCTCCTCCTCCTCACTTGCCCTCTGTTACGGCCTCTAGTTTTGCTGATGATTGTGAACTATTGCTATGCCTGCTTGTTGTGCTGATTACACCCCACTTTGGCTATGGGGGTGTGTCAGAATGTTATTGTTGTCTAGCCTGCAGTGGGGTACTCTATAGCGAGTACAACCCAATTAGGGTTTCATATATGTATCCTCCTGCTTGCTAGTGAACATTCTCCTTTTCTCATTTTTGTTTCTCCTGCTAATTCTGACATGGTGCAGCAGGTCCTTCAGCGCTTCGGCTTCACTTGGTCCTCGCCACAATCCACTCCTCTGGCTACCGGTCACTCGCTCTCAGCTCCACCTTCGGACGAGTCCGTAGAGCCGAGTGGCCCGTATCCAAAGCTAGTGGGTTGCCTCATGTACCTGATGACCTGCACTCGTCCTGACCTTGCATACCCTCTTGGCCTTCTGGCGCGCTACGTGTCTCCTGGTAGACACCGAAAGGTGCACTGGGATGCTGCGACGAGGGTACTACGTTACTTGTGCAGTCCTTCGGACATGGGGCTCGTGCTTGGAGGGCGGGGTCCGGTTGTCCTCACCGGACACTCAGACGCTTCTTGGGTTGACGACCTGGCTACGCAGTGGTCGTCTCAGGATTACCGGTACACGTTCTGCCTTGGCTACGGCTCTGTTTCTTGGCGGTCTACCCGCTCCTCTTCTGTTCTCAGCTCCAGTTGTGAGGCTGAGATCAGCGCTGTCGCTTGGTCTGGGCCCAACTCTTACGAGGCTGGGCTGGGCCGAAACAAGCCCTGAATCATCCGAAAAGCAGCTCAATCCAGCCCTTTAATTCAGGCCATTTTGATTCATGCCCTGAGTCGCATGCATCAGAAACCTAAGTTTATTCTCTCGATATACTCTACAGAGCAGAGCACGCTAGGGAGACGGGGGTTTGGTGGGGGGGTTGTGCTTGGGGGAGGCCCGTCCATAGTTTAAGTTCTAGAAGAAGGGGGGATAGTGGGTTAGGGGAGGTGCAGGTACGCAGGAACTCCGGGGAAGGCTCCAAACCGTTCGTTAGAAATCCGGGCCAGGGAAATCCCAACCTTTAAAATCTCTGAGCTGAGAAAATACCAACCCTGAATTCTCGAGGAAAACTGACAACTTTCCGTGAGTCGACACGCCTGAGATCTACGCGGCAGCCATGGCTGCACAGGAGTTACGCTGGCTCACCTACCTGCTGATCGACTTGGGAGAGCGGCCTCGTTCTCCTCCAGTTTTGTACGTAGACAACAAGGCTGCAATTGCCTTGTGTGAGGAGCATAGACTGGAGCACAGAACGAAGCACATTGCTCTGCGTTATTTCCTTGCTCGAGAGTTGCAGCAGCGTAGTCAGCTTCGTCTTGCTTACGTACCGGTAGCCTCTCAGGCCAACACTGCTGATATATTCACCAAGACACTTCCGCCTAGTGATCATCAGCGCTTCTGTACTGAATTGGGCATTGTGCCTGCTTTGCTTCACTTGCTCACTGTTTAACTTTGTTTGTACTGTGATCTATATACTTGTACTTGCATGCTTATACCTGGTAAGCTGTGATCACTACAAATACTGCTTGTTCCCATATCTACACCTCTTCATATGAATTGGCCTTGTTGTCACTTGCTTGTGCTCAGAGTGTTTGGTTACTTCGTGATCCACCCTAAGCTTGCTTTGTTTTTCTTGACTGGTCTTGTGACCCCTTGTTCTCCCCCACTTTGCCTATGGGGGTTTATCAAATTATAATGCTGATTATGTTGTGGAGGCTGTAGCGAGGTAGCCTATATGGGGTACAACCCAATTAGGGTTAGTACTTGTACTCAGTTTGATGTTAATGCATTCATTCCTACTCGTTAATTATGACAGCACCCACCCACGCTGCAGTAATGACCGGGCTGCAAGTGTTCAGATGCTGCCTGTCACGATTGAAAGTCACCTGTAACTAGCCGCATGGCTTCTCATCCATCTGTACGCATGCACCATATAAACAGCTGCTGAGCCGTATTGTCTCTGAGAACACACATGTAAACCGCCTTAAAATCTCTTCCCATCACCCCCCCCTCCCCCCACCTCACCCGCCCACCCCCCCTTGTAGCTAGTATCTATCCCGCGAGGATGGGATGTCACGTAGCAACGAGATCGGCAGCTTCGAAAACGCGCCCCCGCCGCCGCCCCTCTCGGTGTCACTCTCGCCTCTCGATGCCGGCTCAGGCACCGCCCTGCCACCGCTGCTGCTGCGCCGGCTGCCTGAGGACGACCGCTCGCGCTCGCCCCCGCCGCTGCTGCTGCGGCCGAAGGCACTGCTGAAGCCACGCGTGAGGGGCGAGGTGCTCCTGGGAGATCTCTGACCGGCTAGTAGGAGGTGAATGGGATGCGAAGGAAGAAGAAGACATAGAGGAAATAAGAAGGGTCACAAGCAGAACGCACAGCTGACGCCATGGGTCCAGGGTGGAGTGCTTCTGGGGGATTCTGACCGGCTGGGGAGGGTAGAAAAAGGGGGTGGGAGAAAGGAAGGGACGGAGAGGAAGGAGGATTTGAGGGGGGAGAAGAGATGCAATGCAGGAGCCATGGGTGAGGGGGGAGGAGCTTCTGGAGTGGACGGGAGTTGAGGTTACAAGCATTGGTTGGCAAAGAGCGATAAAAGGACATGTCGGAATTGTGGGACATGTGGGAGACATGGGATATGTGGGGCCAACCCTTGATGATGTAGCATGCATGGTGTATTGTGATAAGCCATGCATGGCACAGGGCATGTGGGATTGGGAAACGTGGGGGACACTTGGTAGATGTGGGTGACATGTGGGGCATGTGGGGCATGTGGGGCATGTGGGGCATGTGGGGCATGTGGGGCACGTGGGGCACGTGGGCACGTGGGGCATGTGGGGCACGTGGGGCACGTGGGGCATGTGGGGCATGTGGGGCATGTGGGGCATGTGGGGCATGTGGGGCGTACCTGAGGGGCTGGAGCTGCGCGCAGTGGCACGAGAGAGCAGACCACCCCCCGACGATGACGTGCCTGTGGCGCCTGACTTCACCTGCGCCTGAGGAGCACACACACAGTGACATCACGCACGCACATGCATCATGCACATGGACAAACGCATACACATGGAAAAGTTTGATTCGACTCATACATCACCCCCTGATGAGGATGATGATGTGCCTGTGGCGCCTGATTTGACCTGCGCCTGAGGGGTGCAAGACACACAAACATCACGCACATGGACGAATGCATGTCCGGATGATCATGATGTCAACCTTTCCCTTCCATTCGTCACACAGACATCACACACGCCCATTGTCGGTAAAAGTCAACCTCTCCCTTGCACTACTCTCAGGATTAGACCTTCCTTGGACCTTTTCTTGAACCTTGGGCTGCACACTAGAAAGGGACACAGACAACCATGGGCCGTGTGGACAACCATGGGCCGTGTGGACAACCATGGGCCGTGTGGACAACCATGGGCCGTGTGGACAACCATGGGCCGTGTGGACAACCATGGGCCGTGTGGACAACCATGGGCCGTGTGGACAACCATGGGCCGTGTGGACAACCATGGGCCGTGTGGACAACCATGGGCCGTGTGGACAACCATGGGCTGTGTGGACAACCATGGGCCGTGTGGACAACCATGGGCCGTGTGGACAACCATGGGCCGTGTGGACAACCATGGGCCGTGTGGACAACCATGGGCCGTGTGGACAACCATGGGCCGTGTGGACAACCATGGGCCGTGTGGACAACCATGGGCCGTGTGGACAACCATGGGCTGTGTGGACAACCATGGGCCGTGTGGACAGCCATGGGCCGTGTGGACAACCATGGGCCATGTGGACAACCATGGGCCGTGTGGACAACCATGGGCCGTGTGGACAACCATGGGCCGTGTGGACAACCATGGGCCGTGGGCAGATAGTGACCCTGGTCAAATGTGGACGCACATTTGACCACGCGGGGGCGCACCTTGAGAGTGAAGTAGGCGTCGATCAGCTCGTGCAGCAGCGGCCGCGTAGCGCCGCCAGGTGTCATGATGGCGTTGGACGACGGCAGGCCGAGCTCGTCCTCTAGCTTTGGTCGGCGCGGGTACACTGGCGGCTGGAGAAACGCAAGGGAGAAAGAAATTTTGTTTAGTCGAATGGAACGAAAGAAACACCTTCAGCCAGACGGTTGTTTTCAACTCTGGACCAAGTGAATGCTTGGTCACACTAACAGGTACACTTGGAAGGTATGTACCCGGTTTCATCCTGAGAAGTTCTCGTCGATCGTACGTACCAGGTTACACTCCGAGAGGTACACTTTGAGGGTATGGTCCATCTCTCCCCACTCCAGATACTCGCACAGCAGCGCCGTCAGCAGATGACCTGCCACAATGTCACCATTATCCACGAAGAAACAACGTTACGGCTAAGAAAAGCATATATTGTTCACTCATGTCCTGAATCATGAACTACACAAACGGCGGTGGGTCAACTACAGTTGAATCAAATACACAGGGTCATCAGCAGCCCTGCTACCACAGAAGCTCGGAAGCTCGACCGTACACTTTAGAATGACATTCACGTGCCGCTTCTCGTCAGCTCACTCGTCTTTGATTCGCGCATCTCCTTAATCTACTCTCGCACGTTTCGAGGCGCCTCAAAGCACGACCATTCTCCATCAGCTCACCCGTTTTGGAGTCGTGCAGGTTCTTCGCCTGCTCGCTGCAGCCGCCTCGAGACGACTGAATCTCCCTGGCCTGGTCGCTGCTTCCGCTTTTCACGTTTGTAGCCGTTTGAAAGCTCGACTACCTCCCATCCGCTCACCCGTTTTGGAGTCGTGCAGGTTCTTCGCCTGTTCGCTACAGCCGCCTCTCACGGCGCGTTGCTCGTCGCCGCTCGCCGTCTTGTCTTTGTCGTCTATCACCTCGAAGATGCTCGCTCGCAGCTCCGCCTGCCAGAAACAGCCACGACCCACGACCCACGAGCCTCGATAATGAGAGCCTCAGTCACAAGTTACAAGACACGAGACACGGTACAGGAGACTCGGTAATGCGAGCAACTCACGAGTCATGAGCCACGAGCCTCGATAATACTTGCTTTAGTAAACGGATACAAGCCTCGGTTCCTCAACTAGTCCTGTGCCTTAAACGAAACCGATAACGTGGATTTTGAACCAGAAGTGACACGCCTGAAGCAACGACATTCCATATCAGAATCGGACTTTGACGTTTCAAAAGTATCGTCTAGGATAATTTTCGGTCTTCTCATACCTTGAGTCGAGCCAGGACACCCTTCTTCTCTAAAGCCTTCGTCACGAGAGTTTTCAACTCTCCCATCTCCTTGTTATACTCGTCTAGCGGAGTCGGGTGATTCTGAAGCGTCGCCATCCCCTCGTGTATTCGACCTAGAGTCGGAAGTTGAATGAGCTCGGTCAGGCCTAGCGAAATTCTTAGTGAAATCTAATCGTCCAGAATACGGGTACTTAGACTGCACTGAGATTGTAGACTCAGGATACGGTAAGTGCGAGTGACGCCAGTGTAACTTGAAGACCTAATTTACTGACCCAGGCACACAATAGGCGAGGAATAGTAAAAAAAATAGCAGACAAAGTAACCTCGTTCTCTCGAGACTGCCGAAAGGACTAGGGAAGATGCGGAATGAGGAGGAGAGAGTGAAGGTATCAAATCAAGTGAGTACCAGATGCTTTTGCGTGTGTTGAGTTTCAGCTCATCAACCACGGTTCTGCAGTTTTCGTTACGGTGCGAGACGGTAAAGTAGATGTACCGTTAAATACCGATCGAGAAACTTGCTGAATCGTAATGGACGATCAGCATACATCCAGATTTCTGTTCTCTGTTTGCTTCAGCTGACAACACCCAGCACATAGATGTGTGAGATGAGGTGAGGTGCTTTGCGTTGCTCATCCCCGACGGACACGGAGCGCAACAGTCTGAGGTGCCAGAACTGTCGATGAGGCGAAACAAACGAAATAAAACCAACTGCAAACTACGCTGGCGAATTCGAATGAGATCGCCAACCTGGCATGGGTGTCAGACTGTGTGCAGTCTTTTGGAACCGCGCAAATGAAGTTCCGCCCTTTCGGGTTAGTCCTCAGTGATCCCGATACAGGGAGGGAATGCTTGGAGGGAAAGCCGTCTGACAAGCTTGAACCAAAATTCGTCGATGAAACTCCCAATACTGGATATGGCTAATGGCAGAAATAACATTCTTTGGCTGATGTCTTCCATAATATTTAGATATTGAGCATAGCTATACTTGCTGCTTCTAAGATATTTGGAGCATTTTGTTTTTTATGTGTCACTACAAAATGACGTCCGTCTAGGTTGCTAACATACATAAGCTACCAGCAACCTGTCAAAACGTAGGTTATAAACATACATAAACTACCAGGAACCTGTCAAAATGCGGCGTGAATGGACATGTACATACTATTGGCATGCGGTTTCATGTCCGCAGGAGGGGAATGATCAGGCGATGGCAAATCCAGCGGCGGAGGAATGGACAAAGGAGCCAGTCCCCTCTTCCGAGCCCACTGCTCCCGAATCAGCCTTGCAGCCTTACTCACAGGAGCACCCGTCTCCCTCAACTCCCCCAAACCCAGCAGCAAACCCCCCAAACTGCCTTCTGAATCCCCAATGCTCACACTCCCTTCATCCCGACCTCTCTTATTCGACCGCCCAGACATGCTAAACGAAGAGTTAGCGGATCGTACACGCGGTGAGGTGCAAACACTAGAAATACCCTCTGTTCCGAGGCTTGAGATGACAGCGGCTGCTTCTCGGGCCGCTGCTGACGCTGGGAAGAGGGGTAGCTCTGTGATTGCTGCTGCAGCATTGAGACAAGAGTCCGCATGAACCGGCAGTGGGAAATCATCAGCGAAATCTGCAGCGTGTTGGGCATCAGCTGGCGAGGAGTCCGGTGCGGCGGCAGGTCCGGCAGCCCATGTGAAGTCGCTTGCCGAAGCAGCCGCCGAGCCTGTCGCCGAGCTTGATCCAGGTCCGGAGGCGGGTGCCGAGGCTGAGAACGAAGCGGAGGCGTGGACAGGAGCGAGCGCGAGGGAGAGGGAGGATGGGGAGCAAGCGAAGCTTAAGGGGTGGGGAGGGTAGGTGGTGACTGGGAAAGGTGTTATTGGGGAAGATGCTACTGGAGCAGGCGCAGCTGCTGCCGGAGTTGGAGGAGCAATTGCACCCATACCAGCCACACCACCTGCGCTGCCCACATAAAACATATCTTCCATAACAGTAGTCTCGAACCCAGGGGTTGCAGCAGGCATTGCATCAGCAGCGGCAAAGGCAGGGTGTGAGGGAGGATGAGGGGCTGCGTGTGTGGCGGGGGGTTGCAGTTGAAGCGGCGAGGGGAGGGAGGGAGGGGGGAGAGTCGCATAGTCGGATAGAGGAGGAGGTGGTGGGGAAGAGATTATGGGAGGATAGTAGGGAGGCTGCTGCTGCTGCCATTGCTGCTGGTCCTGCTGCTGCAGCTCCTGCTGCCATTGCTGTTGGTACTGCGGCGGTGCCTGGCACTGCAGTTGCTCCTCCAGTGGAAGTGCTGATGTGGGAAGGGCTGCTGCTGACAGTGTTGCTGCTGGCTGCGCTGGTGTTTGCTCCCTTGATGCTGGCTCCCCATTGGACGGCTCCCACATGGCACACGCAACAGGATGGTCCAGTGAGAACCCGCCATCTGGCACGTGAACAGTACCCGGGGTGGCACTCGGTTCTCGAGACCGGGTGGTCCCTGTGAACAAGAAAGGCGGCTGGAAAGCCTGTTGCTGCTCTTCTCCCTCTCGCACGCCCTCCTCTTCCCCATGTTCCAGCTTTACCGGCGCCATCCGCGCAATCGCGACCCCGCGTTTCCCCCCATCCCCCCCCGCGCCGGGCCCCCCTTCCCCTTGTCCCCGGCCCGCCACCTCCCCCACATCTCGCCCAGGAAGCTTCGTCAGAAGCTCCTGCTTAAACTTCTCTACAGTCCCCTTAATCATCTCGGTACAGTCACCCCCGCTTACAGTCACATTCTGGTCGGAGGACAGAAGCTTTGTGACCATATCGAGCAGCGCGGTTGCTTCCGCTTCAACTGGTGACGTGGCATTGGCGGCCGGCGCGCGTTCAACGCCAAGTGTCACCGCCTCGTTTGAGGATGAAGTCAGCTTCGCACCGCGCGACGCGCAAACGTCCGCTCCGCTCCCCTTCAGAGCGCGCAATTCGGGGGAAGGCGCAAGCTCAGGTTCCTGGGGACTGCCCGCCTGTTCGTACGCTTCCGCCTGTCCTCCGCCCCGCGCCAACGTTGAGCCTGCCCCTTGCGCCGCCGATTCCTCCCCCCGCTCCCCCTTCTTCGCGCCTTGGCGTCGCTCCCGCTTCTCCGCGCCTGCACCCGCAGCCTTTGCGCCGTCCGCCCTGCGCCCGCCTTGGAGCGCCCAGAGCTCTGCCATGATCGCGGGGAACGTCGCCTCCCCTTCGAACAGCGCAACAACCGGAGATTCTCCGCCTTTTGCGCTACCGGCGCCGCTGGAAGGGAGACCGGCGTAGAAACTTGACGGCGCTGGCAATTCCGCAGCAGAAAACGGCGCATCAGCCGGCCGAATTGAAACAGCCGTTACTCTCGGCGACTGCGCGCCGAGCGCGGAATTCTTTTTCGCCGCGCCGCCAGCGGAGCGTCTTTGCGCGGGAGGCGGGCGCGGGCTCGCGGGTACCTTCGATTGACAGCGCTGCTCGTTTTGCGGCTTCGCGGGTTTCTCGCCGGGTTTTGCCGGTCGCGGCGACGGTTCAGCGCTGCCAGCCGACGAAAACCGTTTCTCTGACCGATTCCGACGACTCTCGTTAACCGCAACGAGATCTGCACCCGGCCCGAAGAGAGCAGTCAGCAGCGCGTTCGCCTCCTCAAGTGCGCGCAACTCCTGCGCCGACGGCGCGGGCATGGCGGAACCTCCGCCCTGCGCCGCCGCCTTTCCGCGCGCGGGAAGCGCGCCGGCGTGAGCGCCGCCGCGGGGAATCGGGGGAGTATTCGGGGAAGCGGGCGGAGAGTGCTTGGCAGAAGGCGGAAAATCGTGCCCCTTGGCAGGAGCGGTTTTAGCCCCAAGTGCGTGCGGAGGCTGCGCGGGTGATGCGGAAGCCGCGGAAGCGGCGCAGCCTGAAGGGCTGGTGAGGGGGAAAGCGGTCGCCGGCCATTTACGCTCGGTCTTGGGGGACGCCGCTTCAAAAGGCGGCCACTGTTCCGTCTTGACCTGCGCTGCTTTGCGCAAGGCGTCCGCCCATCCTCCGCCCAATGCGGCCATACTGGATCGGTATCAGTAAACAATGGTAAGTAATGCAGAAAGATTCTTTGAAAGCCAACAAAGTGTGAAACTAAGCTACTGGTTTTAGTCACGTGCGCGAAGAAACTTAGGATCCAAAGAGCATATGGTCTGACTGTTCCGGAAACACGCCGTATCGGTGCCGACTGTTGCGGCGTTTCGCCTCTGAGTGCATATGACAGGAGATAACCAGTCAGTGGAAAGCTTGGGACTGCACGTCTGCCGCAACTGCCGCTGCTCCATCTGTCTCCTGATCTTTTATGTGTCTTGGAGGTCGGCAAACAGGCAACTGTTCCGCCTCAAGCGATGAGGGAACTGTGCGTGTGAGGAGGGACCGTGGTTCTGGTTCTGGCAGGGCAGGCAATAGTGGCGCAGATGAATTACGCGCGGGGAAATGAGCGGTGCGGAACCCAAACCGACGCGGAAAAAGATGGGGGAAAGTGATGAGAAATCAGGCCCAGCCGAATGTTGAGCAGGCGGGGAGCGGAGGTGGTGTTTGGCAGGCTTGGCGGAGTGAAGAGCTACCCGTTCCTCTTGAATGTGATGTTTTAGCTGAGGGCGAAATACATTTGTATTGTGTACACTGAAATTACACAGCAACCCGTGCTTAGTGGGAGACGAAGCACTGAAAGTGTGGACTCGCTACTTTTCCCAACTGCCAGTCGGTATTGATGGTGTGAATGAGCGAGATTTGAAGGTGAACCTGTCCATTAACAGTCATTCTTAGGATGTGGCCTCCTAATGAAAAACGTTGACTTCAGCTTCCATCTGCCCCAAATCGAAAGAGTCAGCAAACCAGGGATGCGACGCGTTGCCTGTCATACCTAGGTAATAGGAAACGGGCTAGCCGCCGCATGTATCGGCCCTTCAAGATTCACCTGACAACACAGCAACAGACCCCTGAGGCAAAGACACCCAACATGAAGCTGGCACCTGAATCTGCGCTACATGAAATCATGATTGTCCAAATGTAACACCAAGCACAGAAAAAACATTCATAATATTATAAATACATTAAAAGGTTGTTCTTATCAAAAGTTGCCCATACAGGAGAAATAACTGCAATCCACAACAGTGCAGCACGTTACAATCATAGCTGGATATCATAACCCACAGTGTTGGAATAACCGAAAGGTTATCATAAACATTCCCGAAGGTTCTCCACTCTCGCGTCACTCCACAACGAAGTGAACGCCTATACTAATACCGCAATAGCTCATATAGAGCACGCGGAAGGTCGAGGGTCACCCGAAGGTCAACAGTCGAAGACAGTCAACGGTCGTGACCCTTGACTGCCCAGTAACCGCACAAGGCATTTGCGAAATGCAACACGGTAACTGTCTAGAACAACAATAGTCGTGATTACTGTAGCGATATAATTCAATTAATAAGGGAATGTACCCCTCAGAGTATATGGCCAGCTATGATTTCTATTTATATCCTTGTATTTCTATCTTATAATTATCTTGTTCTCCTTCAAATTGTTAACAAGGTCACTACAGAGACTTTACAATTCCCTCTTACACTTGGCAACCTTATCCTATCCACTACGATTCTTCAGTTATAGCATCATGGTATGAGAGCTAGAGTGGACTATAAGGCCTGCCAAGTTCTTGTTCTCTATAGAACAACCTTCATATAAATTACTCACTACAACACTGCATCACTATGGCTCCAGAAGGAAAGGCCACTGCAGACTCTCCGGGCCCACCAGCAGCAACATCCACTGCACCATCAGCAGTGACCTCGCTCAGCGTTGCTCTCGTTGAGCAGCTGGTCGCCCGCATCAACGCTCTTGAGAGCCATCAGGCGATGAGCGTTGATGGCTCAAGCTATGCACGTGAAATTGCTGGGCTTCCTCTCCTTGGAGAAGACCGCCGCGTCAACTCCGAGAGATCATTCACCTTTGACAATCGCCAAGCCTCAGCTCCTGCTCAAGACAATCAACAACGCGCACACTCAGATACGATCGCGACAATGCAAACAAAATTCGTTCTAACATCAAAGCTGAAAGCGTCAGTTCCTTTCGACGGAAATGACTTCTACACTTGGAGCTTCGAGTTTGAGCTCCGCGTTATCAGCCTGCCTGCCTGCCTGCCTGTCTGCCTGCCTGCCAGTCTGCCTGCCTGCCTACCTGTCTGCCTACGTGCTACTACTTCTGTTACTGCTGCTAGGCTGCTGCTGCTGCTAGGTTGCTTCTGCTGCTACTACTGCTACTGGCGGTGGCCAGATGCAGCTCCAGCGACGTCCGCGCGAGTCTCTCACGCCTCAGCAGCTTCGTGAGTGGTACGCTAGTTGGGGTTGTGGCGGTAGTCGTTGTGGCTGTCGCCCTGGAGCTCGTCAGTCGGGAGCGTCTGGCAGTGGCCAGCTGCAGCTGTAGCGACGTCCGCGCGAGACACTTACGCCCCAGCAGCTTCATGAGTGGTACGCTCAGAGTAGAGGGTCTCGGAGTACCGTTCCCTGCCAGTACGTCATTCGCACAGGTGATCGGGCTGGTCAGGCTTGCGGGACGCTTAGTCACACGCAGTCCCGCTGCTTCGCCCGGCTGAGCGACGCCTGGCGTACCGAGTTTGGCGACGAGGCTGAGCTCCCCTCCTGGCTGGAGCTGCTTAGGTAGAGGGTAGATATCTTTGCTCTTGACTATGATGCTATTCTCACTGCCATGTATGCATTGCCTACTAGTACTGACGGTGCCTGTTACCTGTGCGTACTGCCTGACCCCGGTATAGAGGCTGCTGCTCTAGGTGCTAGTGCGTTCCCTGCTCTAGGTGCTGGTGAGGCTTCTGCTCTAGGTGCTAGTGGTTCAGCAGGGAGTGTGTGAAAGGAGTGTGGGACAGTTTGGGGAGGTTGACCGGAGGCAGTTGTCTTGTCGTCCGCAGCGCCTGAAGTCCAGAGAGCCACGACCCCCTGTGGCCTGAGTAGTCCGGGGCTCTGCGTCCGATAGCCACAGTGTGAGCACTCCTGGTAGTCCAGAGAGCCACGACCCCCTGTGGCCTGAGTAGTCCGGGGCTCTGCGCCCGGTAGCCACAGTGTGAGCACTCGTGGGAGCACAGAGAGCCAGCTGCGCCTGTCGCCGTGTAGTCCGGGTCTAGCCTGGTAGCGATAGTTCTGCGCACTCCTGTTGCCCGTGTGTGTCAGAATCCCAGTCACTAGACCACTGGGATAAAAGGGCTTGTTAAGTAGCGGGTCAGTGCGCCCATAACCCCCCAGGACAACGAGCCTGTAACCCTTCCCTAGGATCAATCGGGGATCACCAGTGGACCTCTGACACCCCCCCGCACTGGGATGCCCGAAGTGCACACACTGGGATTCGAACCCGAGACCTTCGCTCTGATACCATGTCAGAATCCCAGTCACTAGACCACTGGGATAAAAGGGCTTGTTAAGTAGCGGGTCAGTGCGCCCATAACCCCCCAGGACAACGAGCCTGTAACCCTTCCCTAGGATCAATCGGGGATCACCAGTGGACCTCTGACAGTATGTCTGCAGCTTCAGCCGTCGTCTCTCATCTCTTCGCCCCCACAGTTTCTCCTCCTCCTCACTTGCTCTCTGTGATAGCCTCTAGCTTTGTTTATAATTGTGAACTCCTGCTTTGCCTGCTTGTTGTGTTGATTGTACCCCACTTTGACTATGGGGGTGTGTCTGAATGTGATGTTTGTGTAGCCTACAGTGGGGTACTCTATAACGAGTACAGCCCGAATTAGGGTTTGCTATATGTACTCAACTGCATGCTAGTGAAACCCCTATTTCCTGTTTCTCATTCCTGCCGCTTGATTTTGACAGAGGAGTCAGAGGAAGACGCAACTCACGAACTCTTCGGCGAAGCAGCAGAATTACCAAAACCTACCGAAGAACTGTCGCCGCCAGAACAAGGTCCACAGGAGATTGAAGTCATCGTGGCCGAATACAGCTACTTCCGCATTCCCATGACGGGCCTTCCAGTCCGGGACTGGCCCAATCAGTGCCTGCTCGTCACAGGCGACCAAGTTGACGCCGGCGACACCGATGACATCATCGGAATTCCACACGCACTCCAGGAACGGAAGTCAATCCAAGCTTTCGTCGCCGACGCTGACGACGCCGCCGATGCAGGACCTGAAGGGGAGGCAAACGATGAAGCAGCAAGAAATAAGTACTAACAGAAAACGATCGTCTACCGCGCGGAACCAGAAATCTGGCATCAGCGACTTGGGCACCCCTCACACGCAACCCTCAAAAACGCCCTCGCGGCTGGTGTCTTCGACGACGGAGCACTACTTCTTCCCCGCGAAGGCTTCCTTACAGCAAACTCGGAAGATCCACCATGCACGGTGTGCCCCACCGCGTCACTCGTTCACAAGCCCTTCCCCGACCTGCCACCCGGTTACGAACGCTACAAACCACTCGACAAAGTTTACAGCGACTTCATGTGCCTAGCAAAGGAAGGGCTCGACGGCGAACCCTACACGCTCACCTTCATTGACGCGAGCACTCGCCACGTCTGGGCCGTTAATACTGACAGCAGGTCGCTCGCCTTCGAGTGCTTCATCGCGTGGATGAAGCGAGCTGAATGACAATCCGGACTCAAGCTAAAAAGTTGGCAGACAGACAGAGCTCTGGAGTTCTTCTCAGACGAGTTCAAGGAGCTCTTCAGGAAGAAAGGGATTGAGCACCTGGTGTCCCTGCCCTACGCTCACGAGCAGCAAGGAGTAGCAGAACGGACAAACAGGAGCCTTGCCACCAGGATGAGGGCCCTGATGAAGCAGTCGGCCATCCCAACTCGGTACTGGCCGTTCGCTGTGAACCGCGCAGTCCGGCTGCACAACTTGCTGTTCTCCAGAAGCCTCGAAAACAACAACTCACCCTACAGGGCGTGGACCGGCAGAAAAGCAGATACACGCCTGCTCCGGGTATTCGGCTGCATGGTACAGTAGAGGCCACACACTGCAAGGACCGGAAAGTTTACTGACCGGGCTCGCTAGGGCATCCACCTCGGCATCGAA